GCTTAGTTTATTTTTTATTTTATATGAATATTTGTTCAAAACATAAACACCAACTCCTCCTCCGCTTTTATTACTTCCTCGCGGTTGACTAATTAGTTTATAATAATGCAATTTGTATAGGTGTATTTTCTCTGAAAGAGATATGACGTCAAACCTGTAGTTTATAATATTTAAGAATTCTTTAAACATGTTAAAGTTTTGATTTATGCTCCTAATATTTATTTGTAGTATAGAAAATGAATTTATTTCTTTTTTTCCTTTAAAATTAAAAGGATCAAAATACGGTGTTTTCATTAAATTTCATTGAGTTTTTTTAAAAATGTTTGTGTTATTTATTAAATTGTCTTCAAATATGTCAAAAATTATATTTTCAAAACCTTGCTGAAAAATATTATTCGAATCCATTTTTAAATAAAACAAGTAAAAAATAATTTACCTATACATATATTAATAAATTTATTATCCTGAGGTATTACATTTTTTGTGCTTTCACAGTTTATTTTGACGAAATACATCGACTGAAGGTTTGGTATGGGGACTGCAATAATAAAAAAGTCTCCACTCACGAGCATTGCTGGATTAAGAAGGGTTGGTCTTTGGGGGGCTAAAGCCCCGGTTTCCTCAATTTTAGGGGCCCTGAAATAGTTTTAAGACATTTTTTTTAGTCATTTTTAACAAATAAAAGGCACACACAAAAGACCTCCAAAATAAAATAGCCCTGGGCCCCGAAAAGCCTTAATCTGCCACTGCTCACGAGAAATAAAACTATTATAGAATTACCGGTAATTTGATATTTAGCGCCTCATGAATCATTTTAAATTTAATCATATTGGATTATTTAATTTCATGTTATAATATGAAAAAAAAAACTGTTAAGGCTTAAGCGCATAAAACTTAACAATGACCAATTGGTCACTTTTAACTATGTTTTAAAGTTTCTTATCGTGATGTTGCATAGTGTTTTGGCTATGTTTTAAAGTTTCTTGCCGTGATGTTGCAGTTAGAGGGAGTTTGTGTAGAAGGAGCAAACCTATAACCTTCAAAATTTATATGGTCATAATTATTAAACGCTAAAAGATTGTTGTATGAAATTCAAAACTTCTTAATTAAATTTATTACAAAATATTATATAAAATATTTTACCAACTAGTTGGTCTTACATATAGGGTAATTGTGACCAATATTTAAAAGGTTTTTTTTGTTCCCCAGCTCCAATCAAGTTTTGTAAAATAGTCTGACTTATGCTTTCAAAACAATAAAACCAGAGTCATGTCATGTTATGTGAAATACTTGTTGCATCAAGTATTTGCAAAACACATGTATGAATATATAAATATATGATAACTACGATACTTTTGTAATTAAATTCAGTCGATGATTACGATACTTTTGTAAAAAATTTCTCTTAAGGGCAGTTTATAAGTAAAAAACAAGTTTTTTTAAAAAATTAATGTTCCTAATGTTGTACTTTTGAAATTTTTAATGTTGTACTTTTGAAAGTTTTACGACTTTAAAATGTCATTTAAAAACATTACACATTTAACTTTTGATCAAAACAATAAATTTTGATAAATATTCATACTTGTTAATAAAAATTGATTCAGGAACCAATTAAGATGAAACCTTATATAATATACTATAATATATACTATATATAATGTAGGAGAGAGTTGCCGAAATTAGAACAGCGCCTTAATTGGAATACTTGCATTGATTTTTGAAAAAAAAAAAGAATATATTTTGCATTTTTTTAGTAAAACGCATTACTTTCTAAGTTTTGACACATTTTGAAAGTTATTTCTCAAAAAATGCGTTTGCATTTAAAGTTTGTTTGCGTCATTTTTTTTCAGCAATCTAATTTTGTGTTCACACTATATTGATTGCGCTGGGTAAACTATGGTGCTACAGGTTATACCGTTTTTTGTGTTTAATTCGATGGGATTTAAAATGCAAAATAACAATAGAAACTTATCTTATAAGTTGCTGCAAGCATGTTATTGTAGTTGATATAACAAAATAGTCGAAAGTTTCCTTGATTGGAACATTGAAGTTTTCCTTACCTAATCAGTAATAAAATCCAAGGGTTGTAAAAGTAGTTCAAGTGCAATTAAAAATTACTTAGCAATAACCATAAACCTTAGAAATTATACTTTATTTAGTAATTTTTAATCAATAAATTTAGATAACGTCATAATAGTTGAAGATTTATACAATTTATTGTTTGTAGACTTTCAATTTATCAGGATAATACTGATCCTATAATAAGTTTTGAATTAACTGATAAATTTTCACTGTAAAGATGAAAATTATTTTTTACAAATTTGTGTAGATTTTACTGGATTTTTTCTTTTAAAAAAATAACCCGTTCTGATGAAGGAATCAAAGTGTTCCAATTTAGGGAACCAGTTGCCTTGGTTGGAACAAAATGGTAACTTTGCAAAAACAAATTTATTTCCAATAACAGTACAATCAATTAAGTCAAATTATGGTTAAATGTATAGTAGGGATGTCTGTTTATATTAATCAAATCATAAATGTTTTCATAGCTAAGCCATTTTTGGGTAATAAATATTTATTCCTTAAGTGTTTCAATTAAGGCAACTCTCCCTTCCAATTTATAAATTTCTATATATAATGTATATTTAATGTTACAATTTACTTATATATAATACACTATGCGTATACGTGTTTGTTAGTGCTCGGATAATAAACATACTATTGAACAAGTATTAAACAAAGGAATAAATAGATAAATAAATGCATTTATAAATAAATATACATAAAAAAGTAATTATAAATAAAATGCATTTGTATTGAATGAAAAATATTTTTACAAAAACTTAAATGTATTTAAACAGCAATTTAAATCTATTTATACTGTAAAATCTTTAAAGCCATATATTTGTTATACAATGAAGTATGCAGAACCGTAGCTAAGGTCTGCATAATTCATTGTATAGCAATTTTGTATATGTAAAACTATTTTGGGGGAGTACTGCCCCCTCCCCCATTAATATAATCTTTGTTCCTACGGGCCTGGTATGGATAGAACTCCTTTAACATTTTTGTAAAAACAAAAAATTCATAACTTAATTAACTTTAAAGAACACTCGTGGCGCAGTGGTAGCGCAGTTAACTCAGAAACAAAGGATCCAAGGTTCAAATTCACCTATGTTTAGTTTTGCGATATTGGTTAGGAAGGAGGTGAGAATCTCGTAAGTGCGAGCTGGCATAAGTGCGAAACAGTTGCAAAAACTGGAGTATGTGTGAATTCGCATAAGTGAGCCAAACGAATTTGCAAACTTTGGCATAAGTGCGCCGAATAAATTTGCAAACATTGGCATAAGTGCGAACTGGCAAACGTGCAAGCTGAAAAAAATGCGAAGCAGTTGCAAAACCTGACGTAAATGCAATCCGGCGTAAGTGCAAATTAGCATAAGTGCACCAAATAAATTTGCAAATATTGGCATAATTGCAAACTGGCATAAATGCAAATTGGCATAAGTGCGCCGAATAAAATTGCAAATATTGGAATTGGCATAATTGCGAACTGGCATAAGTGCAAATTGGCATAAGTGTGCTGAAAGAACTTGTAAAGATTGGCATAAGTGCTGTTTTCAAATTCTTTTGGCGCACTTATGTCATTTTTTGCAAATATTTTCGGGGCACATATGCTAGTTCACACATATGCCATTTTTTTTGTTTTTTAATTTTTAATTTAGGTGCCTCTAGAAGTCCTAACGGTCTTGTAACAGAGCGCCGCGGAAGTGCCTTTAACCAGAAAGTTCACGCCTCCTTCCTTACCGTGACGTGAAATATGTCCAAAGCTTTATAAGCTGGATCTCCTGCTTATAAAGCAAGTGCTTTAACCTCTACGCCACGGCCGCACTCATGCCAATATTTGCAACTGCTTTGCACTTATGTAAATATTTTCAAATTCTTTTGGCGCATTTATGCAAATTCGCACTAATGCCAATGTTTACAAATTAATTTGGCACAGCTATGCCAGTTCGCACTTATGTTGACTCGCACTTATGCCAATATTTGAAAATTCTTTCGGCGCCCTTATGCCAATTTGTATTTAAGCCAATGTTTGCATATTCTTTTGATGCACTAATACCAGTTCGCACTTATGCCACGTTTTGCAACTGCTTCGCACTAACGCTGGTTCGCACTTATGAAACTTGCACTTATTCAGTCGCCCCTAAACATAATATAAGCAGCACCGGCTTCGCGGTCGTTTGCTACACGAGGGCGGCGAATAAATTAGGGCGGAAACTTCGTTATTTCATATGTTGTAATTTTGTAACAACAAATTAATTTTTTTTTTTTTTTTACTTATTTAAAGCTTTTCTCACTATATTGTTTGTAAATTAAACATTTCATCGAAATATTTTATTTTTCAGTTTGATTTGCTATCATTTCCCTTGAAATTAACCAGCAAATTAACAAATTTATCAGGGGCAGCCGGAAAATTTTTGCATGACGGCGACACGAAAGTTAAGGCCGGCACTCAATATAACAATGTATAACTAAAGTATAACTTGTGTATATTTTGCTGATTTATTATTGTAATAAAAATGTTTATAATTTTATATTTTGGTATATAAATAAAAATCAGTTATTTACAAATACAGTTGAACTCATATAGTTCGAATCCTCAATGAGTCTTAAAATATGTTCGAATTAAATGAGTTCTTGATTTATAGGAGTTCTATTGTAAATATTAGAGATTAAAAGGACCAAAGAATTTGCTCGGTTTAAATGATCTTTCAAATTATAGGAGTTCGAATTACAAGAGCTCAACTGTAGTTTCTACAAAAAATCATATTTTTTAATTGGACCCGATTAAAATGCTGGCCTCCCGGTTGTGTAACGTTGACCCCGATGGCCTTAGTAAATAAACGATATCTTTAATGTTACCTTATTTGCAAACGCTTTATTTTCTTTTTAAAACCAGAAATTGCAGTACGATTTTTTCAGCTGCGTTTTTGTTCGGGATAGTTAAGGATCATTTCCTGGTTTGACTTAACCGTAGATAAGCTTTTTTAATAACCGCAAAACAAACTAACTATTAACTAAGAGTGATTTGTAGATGCTATTCCAAATACCAATTATATCCTAAATCCGACTGAAGTTTAACAAAGTTTATGCGAAAGCATTTTGGTGATAAAATTTAAACATCAACATTCCGTTTCAGTTTTTCTGCAGACCGTTTAGCTTTGCAAATCTTGGGCAAGAATTAAGCTCATAAAAATAAAGTCAACAAAACCAATGTGTAAATATATTCACACATGTACCATAGGTTATGGGTATTGTAAATCGGTCACTAAGTCTGCATGGATAGTAATTTGAATAAACATTATGACAAGCGCTAACCTTTTATCTCGATTAGAGTATTTACAACGTATGGTAGAGCTTACAATACAGTCATTAAAAGATCTTAGAAATCCATTAAAAACAGACACTTCAAACTTGATACAACATGAGAAATCTGAACTTGAGGTATAGTTTCTCTAATTTCTTAACTCATAGGCTGTTGCTTGAGCTGTTATTTTTGCAACGTATAAGAAATGTTAAATAATTGTTTTTTTTATGTATTATTACCTATAAAATAACTGAGGAAAAATCAAGCTCACTACCTTTTGAGACAATTTTGAAATTTTACTTTGATTTTTAATCAAATTTAAAACTTTTCTAAAAATTGAAAAAAGCGAGCAATTTTTATTGCTCTCAATATGATATAATACAGTTCCACAATGTAAGAACTGCAGATCAAAGATGTTATTGATATATGATTACATACCCATTATGTAAAAGGTGTATAAATGTTGTCCTTAAGCTTATCATTTACTGTTCTTTCTTTAGTCAAAAATTGATATTATATAAAAAAAAAAGCAAGTGCAGATAAATACTTTTATAAACACAGTTGTACATATTATAAGTTATATGCTTTATTAAAAAAAAGTCAATGTTTTCTTTCAATCATTGTTCTTCAATAAGCTATTCTGTATTTAATATTTAATCTTTTAAAATTATTATTTATTTATCTCATTTTTGAGATAACAGATTAAAAAAAATTATAATATAGATCAATTATATTGTTGATTAAAGTTAGACTTGTCTTTTTAAATTTATATACATTAATAGTCAGTGTCGAATTCATTTAGTATTAAGTTATTACACATTTGAATTGTATTTTTAATGTGAGCTCTAACCATAGCTCTTTGACTGATGTGTGTTTATATATATATATATATATATATATATATATATATATATATATATATATATATATATATATACATATATTTATATATATACATATATATATATATATATATATATATATATATATATATATATATATATATATATATATATATATATATATATATATATATATATATATATATATATATATATATATATATATATATATATATATATATATATATATATATATATATATATATATATATATATATAAGGTACGAGATTTAGTGAACTGAGAATAATGGAACTTTTTACATAAATTTCTTGCAATAATAAATAGCTGTTTGTTCTCCAGAGAGTTGTTCTTTTGAAAAAGATGAAAAAAATGATTATGATTAGATATAGCAGCTGCACATGAGGGTGAAAACCACGGAGTAGACGAGTAGGCTTGACTTAGAACTGACAAGAAGGAATAAAAGCATCTGTTCCTGCCTGAATCTATGAAGTTATGTAGGAGGCATACTTTTCAGCTGAGAGGAAAAAAACATCAGCCCAAGGACCATCAAAGACAATCACGAAAAGAATCTGAGTCAGCTTTAGGGTAGTAGTTAGTATTGCTATGATAGGGTGAGTTAGAAAAGGAATTAGAACCACCTAATAGAGAAAATGTAAAAACTGATCACAAACTAGGATCAGAGACCAGACAAATCAAGGTAAATGATTAGGGTTGTCAGGAAAATGAGCCACAAAGTTAACTATCTGAGTAAGAGATTGAGAAATGCTCAGAGTAAAGCCATTCAGTGTGATAGGCATTAAAATCAGCAAAAACAACAATATTGGCAGAGTGGTAAAGAGAGAGGGCATAGTCAATTTGATCAAAAATTAAATTTAAAAGAGTGCAGTCTTGGGAAGAAGGAGAACGATAAAGAACAAAGAGAAATGTGATAGAATGAAGAGGTGCTAAGCGGAAGCACATAAAAAAGTGGTCAAAGAATTCGAACCTGATTTCATGACAAATAGGTGAATTGATGCGTATGTATACCCCCAAGCCAAGTATGTGACTATTGGAGTCCTTGGGAATCATAGTTTAGTACCTATCAACACTAAGATCAGAAGTAGATATAGCAGAATTTAAATTAGTCTTGCTAAGAGCAATCAAGTCTGCTAATTTTTGCAAGAGGTAAGATTCAACTAATGGAAGGTTGCTTCACAGACCACGAATGTTAGTAAAAGATATATTAAAACAGTTAGGTGGTGAGGATGTTTGGAAACCCTATTAACAGCTTGCCTCAGAACTATTAAACTGAGTTTTAGAGCTGTATCTCATGAGATTACAGGAAGAGTTGCATTATGCCATTATCAAGTGTTATCAAATTATCATAGTGCCATTATCAAGGCACAAAAACCTATGAGGAGAGTCAAGAAGATCCAGCATTCATCATCTAAGGTAGGTAACAATGTAACACAGATTTACATCAATGCCAGCCTAATAGATGAAGAAGGGGTTCAAGGCTAATTAGCAAGATTATTCTGCTTACCTATAAAGTCTTTGCCTAGGAGGCCTCCTACAAGACAGTAGCTGGATGCAGTTAATGTCTGCCCAGGATAAGTATTTTTATCAAGTTACCCTCTCTAATCTTTATTCAACCAACAACCCTTTATGCACATGAATTTTAGTTAAATGTAGTTAACATCTTCCTAAAATTATTACTTTTATTAGGACACCATCTATAGCCTTTACTCAACCAAATGCCGTATAGCAGGTGATTTTTAAGTCAGAGTTTGTTTCTCCTAGCCTTTGCCTAAATATATATATATATATATATATATATATATATATATATATATATATATATATATATATATATATATATATATATATATATATTAGGGTGTTTCAAAAAAAAGGTCATGCCTGAAAAAGAATAAGAGTCATAGTTAATTATCTGCCCAGACCATGATTTAGTACTAATTTTTTTTTTCTTTAGTTTTTGAAAATCCTAAGAGTCCCTTCAGGGGATAAAAGGGGCAATTTTTAAGGCGTTTTGTACCATTTTTTAAACTATTTGTAGGAAGTATTAAAATTAATATTATTTTTTTTTTTTATATTTATGTTTGTAAAGATTTATTTAATCAAAATAAAATGGGCTCTATTCTCAAAAAAAAGTTTTAAACTTATAAAAATTGTTTCAAAAAACCCTAAAATCCATAGTCCAAAGTACATAAGTACAAAACATTTTTTTAAAATTCCTAAAACTTATAAAAGTACATTATATTTTTTATTTATTTTTATTTATTATATTTAATTGATTTTTCAATTAAAATCAGCTTTAGGGATTATTATGGAAAATTTGTTAAAGAGAGAGCCTGGACAGGGAAAGGGGATACATTTTTTGTAATCAATAGTCAAAACCTTATGGTTTTTACTCAAATTTAAAAATTTTGAATAGATAGTAAAACTTTTTTTTTTAAATTAAAACACAGCAGTTCCAGTAAATTTATGATACTCTCTATTCTTTCTTTAAAAATTATTATTAACAAAAACATAAGAACCTAGACTTAATTTGTTTTAGAAACTTTTTTGTAATTTGTTTTTTCCCTGCCATTTTGCTTTTTTTCATAATTATTTGTAAAAAGAAAGGTCCCCTGTGTTTTCTTCTCAGAATATGCTCAATTGATCTTGAGCTAACTTAACTGCCATTTAACAGAAGTGATTAACAACATCAAGTCCCTTGACTGTTGCTCTAAATTTTAGATAAAAGTTGTTAAGTTTCCAAAATTCTAGTGGAGTCTTCATCAATTGAGTTTCTGCTTTTCCATTTCTAGACATGTCAAAAACTAGCCACAACTTGTCTGTTGGTAATGGAGTCAAACTAGGAGGCTTATTTTTACTGAGGCTTTTCAATATAGCTTGGTCCATTATCTGGTGCTTTAAAGGAAAACTGTCACTTGGACATCTTTGTAAACTGTACAGTTTTTCAGCCATATTACCACTTTTTTTTTTTTTAGGTGCCCCAAGAAATCCTTACGGTCTTATCGCAGAGCACCTAGAAAGAGCATTTAATAGAAAGTTCACACCTCCTTCCCAACTGATGTCCCAAAACTTGCCCACTTTGAACCAATGGATCTTACGTTTCTGAGACAAGTGTGCTACCAATACGTCACGGTTGCTCAATAATTTTTTATTTGCTATACATATAATACATTCTTTATCTGCTAGAGCAAAAAAACTATCATTTAGAGTTCTTCTAAAATATTTAAGATCCTCAGTCTTTTTAAAAATCAAACAAATCTGTATAAAACTATAAAATCTGCATATTTGTATTCTTGATAAAGAAGACAATGAACAAAAAAATATTTAAAATTTTAGTGTAGATAGGGAATACATATAAACCTTTACAGTATGATCCTACTAAAAGTGTATGTACATCTGTGAATAATACCACTACATTATTAATAAAAAAACTAATACCACCACATTATTAATGAATAAACTGCTAAAATGTTGAGACGCCACAATCTTCTTTATTTTATGGCCTTCCTAAAATTCATCAAAGTACTACAAAATATAATAATAAGTACTGCATAATATAATAACACATAAAAGTAGTATCATGTATAGAAAATATAAAAGATGAGGTCAAACAAAGTATGTCTGAAAATAGTGCTTAAAGGCCAAGATTCCATCCGTCAAACCTTTTAATTTGTCTGTAAACAAACTTCATATCCTAATAAATAATATTAATTAATATTTTGAATCACTTTAATCAAAAGTAAGCTTACTAATTTATTATCAAAATATTAAAAGACAATATACCTGTGTTGGTGCCAAGGAACCTAGCTTTGCTTTTAGAAACCACTATGTATAGAAAAGACAAACAAATAAAGCCATAGCAGTTATTTCTTCTTTGTATTGCCAGTCAGGTTTTTAAATTCATTCATTAAAAGATACAGTTTTAAGTAGTATAAATCTTTTCCAATAAATCTTAAATTGTAAACTGGTCTGGTAAGTGAGATTTAGTCCTATTTCAGGAGCTATTCTAGGAAAACAATTTGTGTGGCATTATCCCTATGCCAATGCGCGTTGTAAGGTTACATTGATGAAAACATTGCCAAATAAAGGCGTTTTTATGCCAAAAAAAACAATACTTACTAATAAAATGAAATAAAAAAAAATCTTCAAATTTTGAATTTGGGTGGCGCTAAAAAACTTGCCCAAATATTTCCAAATTGATCAAAGACAATGTATTTGTTTCCTAGCCTAATTCATCTCTGGTGTAACTAGCAAA